AGGTGAGGGCAGAGTAGAAAACAGAGCTAGGGATAGAGGACACAAGAGGGCAGCAGAGGACAACAAATGGAAAACCTGGAAGACAGGAACTAGCAAGAGAACAACAAAATAATAATTAAACACTAAAACAAGGTGCAAAATAAAACTGAATACTCAAAATAAACATACCAAAACCAAGACTGTGACAGGGGGGACTCCATTTATAAGGGGTATACAAGTGAGAGTGCCATATAAAGGGTTAATGAACAGAAACTTAAAGCCCATAACTCTGTAATGTCTAATGCTACAAAGGCTCTCAAATAATAATATTGGCAGCATCACAAATGAAAAGATATTCATTGGACTGATTGCCGATGCAAAATTTTAATGTTAAGGTCCTTATCACTTAAATCAAAAAGATCCTTAAAGATTTTTCTGATGAAAATAATAAAAGAAATAAGAAGAAATCAAGTTTTCTGGGAGGAGTGCTTAGTAAGCTACATCAGTTAAATAACATAACAGCTTAATTGCTGCCAGAGCAGTTAATTTAGGAAACCAAGGAGAAAAGGGAATTTTCATTAAGTAGCAGTTTAGACCATTTGGTTTTATGAAGCAAGAAAGTAAAATACAAGAAAAAAAACAGCACAGTTGACATTTAATCTGATGGTTACAAGTTCTGTCTGCTAACTGTGGTGCAATGCAGGAAATAAAGATCAGAGATTGTTACTAATTGTTTATTCATAAACAAAGCAGTGTAATAATCTGTAACTTTCCGAAATAGAAGATGCACTTCACTTTAATCACCTGAAAAGGTTTCAGATGAAAAAATACTTAATTGAGCCAAGAGAAATGTGAAAAATGTGATGAATCTGTGAGGCTGGAGAAGAATATTAAAATCAGCATTTTTTCTAAAAGAATATAACCAGATTATATGAGAAATGCATATTTACATATTTTATTATACTAACACTTAATTCTGTATGGACAAACAAATAGGTTTGCTCAGTCTTTAAGAGTTAGCAATCACAATATTGTGGGATGTTGGTTCGGTGTCTCAACAATTAATGGGAGACCAAGCAAGAAAGAACAGTACAAGAAGAGTGACCAAAGTAAAAAAACGCAAAAATAAATAACCTGAAGTTTTGGGGCAAGTATTTTTTTTCCCACAGGAAAATGGGGGCAGGGGATCTGTAAAGTTAAGCAGTCAAAAATTAGGAGCAATATTTATGGTTATTTTGCGTGTTTTAAAAGAAAGATAAGGGGTTTATTTTTTGTCCATTTCATTTTTTCACTATTTCCTTTGTTCTTTTAATAAAAATCTTACTTAAGTATTTAGTTTGGCGCTAAATATTTTGTTACCGAATGAAATGAAAGAGATTATGAATGAGAATGGGCCAGCTTCTTCCTTCCAGCCCAGCAAAAAGGAAAGCAGTTGTTGCTATGGCAACAAAATGATGCCTCTTGTGTCTGTAGCTCTGAGGCGCAGGTTAATATAATATTAAACATTTGCCAATTTCTTAAAACAAATGTATACGGTCAAATAAACCTATTTCAAAGAGGACCATCCATTTTGGCATGAATTACGATTTTTTTTTATGTTCTAACTTGTTAGTTGTTTCTAACTGTGTGACAAAGATGCTGTAGGAGTATAGAGATTCCCAGGCTTTTACTTTGGTAGTTCACTTTCACTTTTCGGCAACTGAATTTACATATTCTCAAAATATTTAGCTGCACTGAGCTGAATATTTATTTTGTTAAATAAATATTTATTTAGAGCTAAATATTTATTTAACAAACTAAATATTTAATTTGGAGCTAAATATTTATTTAAGAACTAAATATTTAATTTGGAGCTAAATATTTATTTAAAAACTAAATATTTAATTTGGAGCTAACTATTTATTTAACGAAC